TTATCGCCCCGATTAAAGGTGTTCCCCTGTGCCAAAAACGGTGAGTTGTGCGGCTCAAATACTAACGACAAGATGGTAAGTTAAGAAAAGAAGGAAATTCACCACTTGTTTGCACGCTCTCACTTATGCTTGTTATCCACTCCTGATGATGATGGAGATGACGCAAGCGTTGCTCATGACGCAAGCATTGCACATTGAGGATAGCCCAGAGTAGCCCAGAGTGGTGTAGGGGTGCACTAACCCCCAGCCTCATTTCCGCGCGCTTTCAAGTGTGATGGTGTTAGACTCACTTACAGCTGCGAACCCGTTCATGGCAAGGGGCACATTGCAAGGGCCATGCTTGTAGGTGAGCGCACAGTTCAAAAAGGATAAAGGATAAAGTCTTCGCCGTTAATCAATCCCTTTGTGGGATGCGGCACATTCTACTTCCATTCAGAATCGTAGTGGCTTATTGAATGCGATGTGGCCTATACAATGACTTGCGGGGGATGTACAAGTCAGTGTTTTATCCTCCCAGACGAATCTGGTACCAATTTACCGTCCCCCGGAGGGTAGAAGGCTTGGTTGGCCTGGGCGGGAGTCGACCCGGGATTCGAACCCGGGACCGCGCGAGTGGTAAGCGCTTGTCACTGCACCACCACCGCCTGTGCACAGTTTATCTTCAGAAAAAAGAAGAAGTTGGTGACGGTTGAGATAATGTGTACATTACTATTGAATTCAAAGTTCGAAAAAGAGCAAAGAGAGATTTCAAGGCTTACCTCACGTCCCTTATCAGCACTGATTGCTAGAAGCTTTCCGTCCTCACTCCAGTCCACTGATTGACCTTTATCCACAAAACCGCCGAGTTCTGCAGAACACGCATCAAGACTCCAATTGATTACTGTTTTCATTTAACATGCATTAAATTTACACAACATCAGTCACATTCAAACAATGTGGCTAATTATGTTAAACGTTCAGTTATTTGTTTGCTCGGTGCAGGTGGGCAAATTTAACAGTGGCTAACAAGAGAAGGCCCCCAGGTCATGGTGACCATTTGTGATGAAACCTACTAGCCACCACCTAATGCTTTTTTTGATGCTGATCTTAAATCTGTCGGGCTAAACTCTGAACGCTTCCCTCCAAGACGCGGAGCAACAGACTTTGCTACTCGCGTTTTCCTATGTTTCGCCGTATGAAAACGCGCTTAGCGGGGCGTTTTGAGCAGTTGTGCACGCTCAAAACACTGGATCTATATAGCACTGTTTATCGACGGGGAGGGGGGGCATTTTGTATTATAATTGCTTCCCTGGTTCCGGTTTACAAATCTCACTCTGGTAAAACTTGTGAACGCTTGTGAAGCTGGAGCAAGATCGTCTAGCCACCATCCTAAAACGTCTAGCCACCATCCTAAAACGTGTCAACTCGAAAAAAGGGTACCTAGATGGGTTGGCAAATCTATGAAAAGCAGAATGCCCCCCCCCGTCGATAATCAGCGCCTTTTTGATCGCTGAATACGCTGCCGTGCGCTCAGAAAGTTGTAACAAAGTACGAAAGCAGCTTAACTGGTTGTTGTAACGTGACTTCTTTATAAAGTACATCCATAAACTAAGTAATTGTAGGAAACTCACTTGTTGCAACCACATTCTTTTCAATATCGATAACGTAAGCGTCGCCTAGAGAAGTGGCAGCAATAATATTGGAGGCAGTGGAATGTGATTTGAGCGAATCCAGCAGTACACCATTTCCTACATGTACTTCGCTTTCAAGAGAATTCCTTGCATCTTCACCAGACAGTCGCCATAATTTTATCTTAAACAGTACAACATCCTTTTCGGCATAGCAACTGTAGAAAACTGTCGCTGCACGTGAAGAATTACAGAAGCGGACGTATGAGAAAGCACACGCTGGCAGCAATCCGTGGTCTTTCCCATCCCCGTACCACCTCTATTTTCTCAAATCCTCCCAGCTTTGGACTGCTGGAAATTCTTCAACTTTTCCCCAGAAAACTGCCGTTGAGCAGAAAGGGTTACATGTAGCTCACTTGAAATAGGAAAAGCTGAAAAAGACAACGACGAGAAACATCCCCCTAAGAATACGACCCATCCCTCCTTCACTGGGTTTTCCCAACGTACACCACGTCCTGACCACGAATTGTTGAATGACATTTATTCCTAACGCCAAAATTAACATGCTCATGATGAGAATTTTCTATTATCCCCACATACAAGTTAATAGCGAAGGTGAGGGATGAAGTCGTGGCGCCGATAGTAAGTGTCGTGAGGCGTTCATACTCTACGTCAGCGTTTCGAGCGTGCGGCACCGTTTTCAGCGACAGCCCTTCAAAAGTTCAAAACTACCCGCGAAACGATAAAACTATGACGTACGCTTAGAACGCTAGATCGACACCTATGCTTTCCACACTCACGCTGATGCAAGTTATGAACGCAACCTAACATAAAAATTCGAGAAAAAAGCAAAAACGAAAAAAAAACAAACGACACAAACATTGTCATCCCGACTGCACGTTACCAACAAATCATCATTGAAGGTCATGAAGCAGAAGTCATCAACTTGGTCTAAATAGATATTCTTGATATTCTTTAGTCCGCACCGGATGAAGGGGCGTGTCAGGCAGTATCCGTGTGCTGGCGCCCAAAGCCGCTCTCTATCAGCTGTTGAAGTGGATATGCGACAACAATCTGGTAGAAAACGAGTGATATAGCGATATGGCTAGAGCCTTGTCACTCGCACGCTTCAACAGCTGGTGAAGAACGGGCTTTCGCACAGCGCCAAACTCACCGCGCCTGACACGCCCCTTCATCCGCAACCTAGACCATATGACTACTTAAAGACACCAATGAAAGCAAAAAAAAGACACATTTGTAGGGGGGACAGAACTAACCTGCATGTAGCACACACAATGGACATATCTTAGCATTAATTGGCAAAGCGCCAAGTTTCCCTCCTAAAATCTTCCAATGTCAGAAATTATATTGCCTGAAATCTGATCAAAGAGCGAAGGTTATAAATGGAGAGGTTCCTATGGGGATATAAAATCAAAACGGACAAAATAAAGAAGTGAACTGAGAAAGTAAAGTATGATGGCAAACCTTCTCCTTCCACATGAAATGCCAAATAGCT